GGTCGCGGAAGAAGCACTGAGACGCGCCAGAGTCTAGTGGCTAGTGTGAAGGACAGGGACGCCTCGGCCGGGGGTGCACCTGGTCTAGTGGCTACACAAGCACCTAGAGCGGAAATACAAGCACCTAGACTAGAGAGGCACAGATCTAAACTAGCAACAGGCAAGCATCCTAGACTAGGAACACGTGAGCATATAGATCCATCAGCACTATAGTCAACATCAGCATACAAAGCATACTGACGAGCCTCGTCCATAGACAGATCAAACACAGGAATCTTACGGGCTAGCAAGCGAGCCCAGCACAGGGTGGTCGCCTCAGCACCCCGACGCGCACGGTAGAGGTCATCGAGGCGGCGGAATCACCGCGCTGCAGAGTGGTCGTCGCGGCCGCAGACACAAGGACTGCCCGGTCCTGTGAGACACCAGTGGTCGCAGGGGCCGGTGTCGCAGTGAGGGGGGCAAGAGCCCCAGTTGGTAGTGCTGCTGCTGCGGCCAGTGCTCCCTGGTCCTCCAGGTCCCCACTGCGGCAGGGGGCCCCAGTGCTGCTGCGGACCCCACTGCGGCTAGAACTGTTGCGGTGCCTGCCGCTGCTGCTGTCCCTGCTGCTGCTGCTGTTGTGGTAGCTGCTGCTGAGGCCCTGCACCACCGCCGGCTGGAACGCCTCCAGCAGGTGGGCCCGGCTCTCCGGCACCTCCTCCAGGGCTCCCTCCTCCCGGTGCATTACCGCCGCCGCCGCCACCACCACTGCCGCTCCCAGCTCCACCTCCACCGCCGCCACCTCTGCCACCCCCCTTCCCCCCTTTCTTGCCACCCTTGCCCCGTTTCTGCCAGTCAGCGGCAGAAACAGCTGCGGTGTCCTCATAATCCGACACATCAGCAGAGGGATGAGTAGCAGTGAAGGTGGGAAGCTGGGGGACAGCACACCCCTCAGAGAGGCGGGGAGCGATTGCATTTGTGGCTGAGGCAACAGAGAGGAGGTTGCTCTCGATCTTCTCGAGAGTGGAATCAAGAAGATCGATAGTAAGCTCGGTGGGGTGCTTCTGGAGAAGCACGTCACGGGCAAAGGAGAGGCAGTCAGGGAGGCGAGTGACTAACCAGTGCACAGTGAGCCACATGGGAGGGGGGGCAACAAGAAGCTGAGCCTCAGTGCAGGCTGCACGGTAGCTAGTGTCTAGGGAACGCAGGTGAGTGACCAGGTCGGAGACTGTCGCAAACGAGCCAAGGTCGGGGAACACAAACGGCATGAGGAGGTGGCTGAGGGAGGCAGAGGTAGGGGTGGAATAACGCACAACAATAGCATCGTAACACCCCTTCACAGTCTCCACCTGGGAGAAGTGGACGGCCTCGGTCAGCGGGAGGAGGTCCGTCAGTGCGAGAGCAGCCGCAGCGTCACGAGAGTCCCAAACTTCCCGCGCCAAGAAGAGGCGGTCGTAGTCCGCCTGCTGCGCGATACTGGGAGCGGGGTCAGTAGGCAGGGGGTCGGGACGGCATGGGGCCTGGAGGGCATCGGACGCGTGAGAGTACATGGTGGCGCCGTCCTGGCGCTGACTGGTAAGGTGGCGCTGACTGGTAAGGTACTGAACTCGATCGGGCGGCCCTCTGCGTCGAAACGAAGGCGGTGGGAGGACTCCATAGTGGAGGCTAGGCTAGGAGCGGCCGGAACCCGGAGCAAGCAGAGCTAGGAGCGAGGAGCGAGAACTGCTGGGAGCGCCAGGTGGACCTAAGCGACGGAGCAAGCTATGCTAGGAGCGTGGAGTGGGGAGCTAACCGGTGCTAGAGCGCGCTACCACAGTGAGAGAGCGGCCTCCAGCCGCTGAAACGGAAACCAGGAACAGTAGGAATGGTGTGGGCCTGGAGAAGGGTGGAGGAGAAGTGGCTAACTCTCGGGCAGAACGGGGCGGACTTGGGTAGCGAGGGTGGTGGGGCTCGCGGATAGGGCAGGGCGCGGGCTGAGGCGAGGGCGCTAGCATTGCGCGGCCTGGACGAGGGCGCAGGCTAGGGCGCGTGACGGGCTGGCAAAGGGCGCGCGCGACGGGCTGGCAAAGGGCGCTCGTGACGGGCTGGCCTAGGGGCGCGCGACGGGCCGGCCTTGGGCGCGCGCGACGGGCTGGCCTAGGGCGCGCGCGACGGGCTGGCCTAGGGGCGCGTGACGGGCCGGCCTAGGGCGCGTGCGTCGGGCTGGCCTAGGGCGCGCGCGACGGGCTGGCCTAGGACGCGCGACGGGCTGACCTAGGGCGCGCGCGACGGGCTGGCCTAGGGGCGCGCGACGGGCTGGGGAGAGCACGCACGTGAGGGGAGGGCGCGGGCTAGGCGCGGAGGCGCGGAGGGTGCAGAGGCACGGATTAGGCGCGGAGGCACGGAGGGCGCGGGCTAGGCGCAGAGGCACGAAGGACGCGGAGGCGCGGAGGCGTGAGCTAGGCGCGGAGGGCGCGGAGGGTGCACTAGGGGAGGGCGCGGAGGCGCGCTAGGCTAGGAACGGGCTAGGAACGGTCGAGAACGAACCTACTCGTGATACCATCTCAAGAGTAGCTAGCAACGAAATGGATTGACTAGCAAGGTGGGTGATATAAATAGCAACCTTAGAAGGAGTTGTACCCTCTACAGTGCATCTCACTACAGCCTATTATGATAATGTATAACATTTGACAATTTCCTTCAGCACCTAGGACATTGAATCTCACATCTCCCAAGAAACCCAGTGCAAAACAGTCACACACATATTTGCCACGAGCCATGTGCAAGGGCTGGGCCCTGGACGACCCTTAATGTTTCCCCCCTGGTCCGTCACAGATCCTTTGTTTGATGAGCATGCCTTGCCACGACAACATTTGCAGTCACAGCAGCAGGAGTGCGGTTACAGCAGCAGGAGTGCGGTTATAGCAGCAGGAGTGCAGCGAGGGCCAGGCCAATGGAGGCAAGCAAGTGGAAGATGGAAGCATTGGCTCCTGCAGGAGAATGGGAGAACGACGGAGCAGGATGTTAGGGCATCATATGCAACTTGCACCCTAATTGAATGATCAAGTGGCGTGACATACGAAAAACAAGTTTGACTAGTTTGGATCACTCAAATCCACCATGATTGCGTGTGCGTGTGCATGTGCGGGTGGGTGAGGGTGTGTGGTGTGCGTGCGCTTCTGCATGTCTGCGTACCTGCATACGCGCTAAGAGCCTCCATATTATAAGGGAAAAGCAGTGCGTGGCTCTTATACACCACGACCTCGCTCTCCGGAAAATCCTGTATGACGTCTCCAGCATCCTCCTCCGTGTATGCAAACGGGGTCCCATGGGTTTGCACAGAGCCCTGGAATACAGGCAGCGTGGAGCTGGCCTGCTGCTGGAGAGACGAGCCGGAGATGTTCCACGTGCCGCCATACAGAGGAGAGTATGTCATCCAGAGCGGCTGCCCCTCCAGTGTAGGAAGCTCCCATGGCCCGCCATATGAGTACTTCTTGTCGGATAGAGGGGGGATGATTGAGATGTGAGGACGGAGACAGGAGGATGGAAAGTAATCACCCCCTCTATCGATTGATTATGGAAAAGAAACGCCCTACTGTCTCTGCTGCCATCATGAGTGACTCACGGGAGTAATGAGTGTCTCACAAAAAAACAACACGTGACGTTTTTCGAACTCTCATATAAGAGGATCAAACGAAGGCTCAACTTCACTTTCGGAGGCTCACCTTCTGCGTCGCGACGGAAGGCGGAATGTACTGCTTCACAATCTGAAACTTCCAGAGATCCGACAGCACTTTGGTGACAGCAGGGGAGAGTAAGCTCGGTGCGACGGAGCCCCACACTTCTGGCGAGCTGTCGGCAACATCCATGACCCTGAGCGCATCTGCGATCGCCTGGTTGTACTTGCGCGTCGTGTTGTCAAGCCTGGCGTAGGTTCCCGCCGAGGGAATCTCGTCGGACCGCGGGACGAGAATCGTCACGCCCGAGATGTCTTTGGTACCGTCCAACGCGAACAGACGCGCCATGAGATCGGACTGAACGTCCTTCGAATTCAGGGCTGTTATCAGATCGCTCACGGGCATGGCGTGGGTGGTTGTGAGCAGCTGCGCGAGCAGCGACACAAGCAGCAGTGCTACGGAGGCGCTGGACATCTGCAGGGAAAAAGAACGTCCGGCCATAGTTGTCTTTGAGCAGTAGCGCGTGCGAGAAATCCCTTGTTACTACACCTAAATTCTTCGAGGTAGTAAGGAAATGAAGAGTTTATAGCAAGAAGAGAGGGAGAAAATAGAGAGGTGGCGATTGCGGCAACGATGGATCTTGGCGGGAGAAATCGATGAAAAAGCGAATAAATGAGACATTTATCTGCTCGAGGACTACCACGGCATTCTTGATGCGTGATGCATTCGCTGCGAATCGCGAGCCTTGGATCAATCAAGAAAGTGTTTGAAAGCTGCCACTGCTCGTAAATTCCAGCCTCGCTGGAGCCTTGCCCTGTCAGCAGTGCACGGTTGCCCGCTCAGACCTCTCCAGAGATCGTTGACGCAACAGAAGGGGCCAGCAGCGCAGCTGGCGAACACAACAACGGCGTGATTGGCGGCCGCATTCCCGATTGGCCTTTCGTCATCCTGCTGGCATGACCCTTGACTTTGACAACCCGGACCACAAGGAATCTGCTTCCCTACGAACCGACCCGGCTGCTCTAAAGAAAAGAAATACTCGAGAAGAAAAAATTCACAGTAAGCATTGCCAACAAATTTATACATTCTACAATACATTTTAAGCAAGCCTTGATGCATCTCTAGAGTATAAAGTTGATCTGAAAGACTCAAGACACTCGCAAATCCATGCAGAATGCATTACAGCTCGGAAAAGAGAAGCAGGTAGGCGAAAGCACACTAGGGACATGGCAGCAGACAATGCAGCAGAAGCTGCTGTGAATGCAGGCTGCAGCAGCTGGAGAGTCGGCCCTTGCAACTGGGACCTGAGGTGAATACCGAGTGGGAAGGCAGAAGGAGAAACAAGAAGTGATGAACCGCGTATATTTACTATCCATACCTGGCACCCAACAAAAACAGGTGCGGGGAACTTTGTGGAGTACGATGGGCGTGCCAGTGAGTGGGAAGGAAGGTTTGGTTGTGGCAAGTGGGTTTGCATGTTCGTGCTTGTGTGTAAGCAGGCAGATGTTAGCATGAGACACACATGATCGATTCTAATCACCAACAAACAACACAGCCAGCCAGCCAGCCAGCCAGCAAGCCACTCAGCACAATCCGGGGACCCGCACCTAGAGTCGGGCGGTAACCAGCCGTTGACGTAACACGCAAAGAGCAGCGCATCATACTCACCCCCTTCGAGGTAGTAGAAGCGGGAGAGGCGGCGGCGGTAGCAGAAGCGCAGCGAGCGATAGAAGCAGGTGGGCAGCGAGGGGTAAGAGCCGTGGATACTTGCATTGCGTGCACACACATGGGGGAACAAAACAAAACACACAAACACGACACTCACGCCCAATGCAGCCCACCAGCATACCCCGGAAACCCGCATCATACCGCACCTAGAGTCGGGCGGTAACCAGCCGTTGACGTAACGCGCGAAGAGCAGCGCATCGTACTCGCCCCCCTCGAGGTAGTAGAAGCGCGGGAGGCGGCGGCGGTAGCAGAAGCGCAGCGAGCGATAGAAGCGGATGGCTGCTGCGTTGTATGCGACCACGTGCAGGTAGACAGCCGCACAATGCGGGAGGGAGGCAGCATGGGAGAGAAGGAGATGGACCAAGCGAGATGCTGTGGGGACAGGGAGGGGAGGAGCAGGGGGTGAGAGGGAAGGGGAGGGGAGGAGCAGGGGGTGAGAGGAAAGGGGAGGGGTAACAAAAGCTTTCCAAGTAGCAGGGAGAGAGGAGGGAGGCATGGGAGAAAAGGAGATAGGAGATGCAGCGAGAGGGATACTGCGAGCGATAGAAGCGGATGGCTGCTGCGTTGTACACGACCACGTGCAGGTAGACGGCGGCGCAGTGCGGGAGGGAGGGGGCGTGGGAGAGCAGCAGATTCACACCTCCTCCCTCCCGCACGCGAATGGTGGGATGCTGTGAGAGCAGGGAGAGGAGGGGCAGGTGGTGGAAGGGGAGGGGCGGAGTGAGGATACGAGATGAACGCGATGGAAGGAGTGTATGTTTTTTTAGAATTCTCAAAAAACATACGCGGAAAATAAAATGAAACAGCAGAGTGGGAAGGCAGAGAAGCGAAGCCTGTTTAGCTGGAAGGAGATCTGAAGAGTTGGAAGAGGGAGGGGGGTGTGGGGAGACATGATGGTAGGCGGCACGGCAGTATGGGCGAAGAGAGGCGCTGGAGAGGAGGAGATGGAGAGAATGGGATACTGCAAGGGTTAAGGATGAAAAGGGAATAGGATGATTGCCATCGGCATGGGAGGAGGTGGGACGACATATGTCTAGCACTCAAGATGGATATGGTGAGAAGGGTGTGCGTGTGCGTGTGTGAGTGTGAGTGTGAGTGTGTACCACGGCGAGCATCATTCAGCACTCAAAAGAAAATATGAGAGTTTTATAACTACGCTTACCCACGCCAGCCTTGCGGTAGGGCTTTGCAATGCCGAGCGTGAGGATGTAGAGGAGCGAGGGAGCTGGGTCAAAATTCGCGGCGCCTCAAACGGCAAGCATGTGAAAGCCAAAGTCGATGCTTACCCACGCCAGCCTTGCGGTAAGGCTTGGAGACGCCGAGTGTGAGGATGTAGAGGAGTGAGGGTGACGGGGTGTGGCGGGGCGAGGGAGGAATGAGAGGCAGCCCGTCCGCTCCCTGAGATGGAAACAGTGGGGGTGGGAGAGACGAGTGCGGGGGAGAAGCGTGTGGGGAAAGAGCGTGTTGGGGAGGTGAAGGCACGTAGAGAGAGAGAGAGAGGGATGTAAAGGGATGTCCACCCATGCTGCACCCCACACCACACACCACACCACACCACACCACACCACACCACACCACACCACACCACACCACACCACACACTACCCCACCCCCTCAAAGAGCACCTGCACCTCTGCTGGTGTGACCAGGCGAGCAGTAATGAAACCCACCAGCCTGTCAGGCTGGCAAGGGTCCACCGCGCCCCATGATATGATGCCCCTGTGGTGAATCCTCTCACATGCACACACCCCAATGCTGCACCTTCTCCGCTACCTTACCTGCGCCTCTGCAGGCGGCACGAGGCACGCAGTGATGAACCCCACCAGTCAGTCAGGCTGGCAAGGGTCCACCGCATGTGCCCCATGAGATGATGCCCCTCTGGTGCACCCACCACACATGCACACATCCCTAGCCCTTACATGCCATGCACACATCCCTAGCTCTTACATGCCATGCACACATCCCTAGCCCTTACATGCCATGCACACATCCCTAGCCCTTACATGCCATGCACCCCATGCTGCACCCCCCCCTTTCATGCTTCCCCCATCCCCCACCAGCGCCTCTGCAGGCGGCACGAGGCGAGCAGTGGCGAACCCAACAAGCCTGTCAGGCTGGCGAGGGTCCACCGCGCCCCATGAAATTGCAACCACACTCATGCACCCCATGCACCCCCCCCCCCCCCCCCTTTCATGCTTCCCCCATCCCCCACCTGCGCCTCTGCAGGCGGCACGAGGTGGGCAGTGATGAACCCCACCAGCCGGTCAGGCTGGCAAGGGTCCACCGCATGTGCCCCATGAGATGATGCCTCCGTGGTGCATCCCCACGCACACGCACATCCGTAACCCTTATACGCCATGTAACCCTTATACGCCATGCAACCCTTATACGCCATGCAACCCTTACACGCCATGCAACCCTTATACGCCATGCAACCCATGTTGCACCCACCTGCGCCTCTGCAGGCGGCACGAGGTGGGCGGTGATGAACCCCACCAGCCGGTCAGGCTGACACGGGTCCACCGCACCCCATGAGATGCTGCCCCTGTGGTACCACACCAGAGACCATACAACACGCCACTCCCCCCCTTTTTTACCTGCGCCTCTGCAGGTGGCACGAGGCGGGCAGTGATGAACCCCAGCAGCCGGTCAGGCTCACGGGGATCCACCGCGCCCCATGATATGATTCCCCTGTGATGCACCACGTTGGAATAGAACTCCGCCTCGTACCTGATGGGAAGGGGGGGGAGGGGGAGATGGGGGGAAAGGAAGGAGTGAGGGATGGGGGCCTCTAGACGTCTTAGCGCTCCCTGCATGCGCCCCACGAGATTATGTCCCTGTGATGCACCACGTTGGAGTAGAACTCCGACTCGTACCTGATGGGCAGGGAGGGGGAGGGGGAGATGGGGGGGCAAAGCAAAGGAGGGCAAATGGGAAGGTGAGTTTGGGTCCACAGCGCCCCACGAGATGATTCTCCGGTGGTGCACCACGTTGCTGTAGAACTCCGACTCGTACCTGAAAAGCAAGGAGGGTTGGGGAGCGAGATGGGGGGGCACAGGAGAGCACGGGGAGGTGAGTCTAAAACCACAGCCCCCCACGAGATGATGCCTTTGTGATGCACCACGTTGGAGTAGAACTCCGCCTCGTACCTGATGGGAAGAGAGATGGAGGGGTGGGAGGAGGGAAGGAGATCATACGTAGAGGTGAGTTTGAATGAGCTTCAAATTCACCAACAGTCACAGAGGAAACGCGGGAAAAGTGAGGATCGCGTGAGCTATGTTGGCAGATACGCCCTTGGGGGGTGGGCGTATTGCGTATATACGCTAACGTATGTACGCAATACGCTAATACGCCTAGAAATCGCTCAAATACGCCTGGGGAGCCCATTAAAAAAAAAACTTCAAAATAATTTGCGAGAATTTGCGACGGCGAGAATTGAACCCTCGACCTCGCACAGCACCCAACCCCTGTCTGCAATTCGAAATTCAAAATCCAACCTCTCCCACATCCCCAACCACATACCACCCCTCTCAACCTCCCAAACCCAACCTCCCCGCTTTCACTCGTTCGAACATCTCCTGAATCCCTAAACAGCTCGTCTTTCATTCAATCCCGCATTTCTGTTCTTGCATTTCGTCCAACTCTCGTCGAGCTCGAACTCTCCTAGCTTTAGTACTTCCTCGCCATGGCGACCTCTACTCCCTACAGTTCGAGGGCGGAACCTGCCCGGGAAAAGTTTTTATCTGCCCGCCCAGCGTATTTTTGCGTATCAGCAGTACGCCAGCCATGGCGTACCGCGTATATACCCAGCGTATAATACGCTAGCGTATTATACGCGATACGCGTATTTTCCAACGTAGCGTGTGAGAGGCTTACGCGATGGGGAAGGTGGCTTCATGGAGTGCCTCGATATCGGCCATGTCCCCCGGGGTGAAAATCTAAACGTGCAAGCCTCTTGCGCGATGGGGGAGGCGATGCAAGGAGTTGGTGTGTAAGTTCAGGGTGTGCAGAGGCCTTACGCGATGGGGAAGGTGGCTTCATGGAGGGCCTTGAGATCCGCCATGTCCGCAGGGGTGATGGCACGATAGGCCACACTGGGGAGTGAGGAGGAGGACGAGGAGGAGGAGGGCGGGTGGGATAGTCCCTGCTGCTGCTGCTGCTGCTGCTGCTGCTGCTGCTGCTGCTGCTGCTGCTTGTGGTGCTGGTGCTGCCGGTGCTGCTGCTGGTGCTGACAGCACGTGCAGTGAGTGCAATGCTGGCAACAGCGATGAAAATGATGGTCGTGTTGATGATTGGCATGTCCATGGCTGTCAGAGGTAGAGTCGGTGTGACTGTAACGAGAGGAAGACTGCTGCGAGCCTGATGAAGAGGAAGCAGCAGGAGAGGAGGCGGGCGGGAGGGGTGAGGAGATGGGAGGGCGAGGAGAGGAGGAGGAGGAGACTCGAGAAGAGGAGACGTGAGAGGGAGTAGGATAAGGGGCAGGGGACGGCTTGTAGGCGGGACGAGGGGACCCGGGCCTTTGAGGCGCCTCAAAAGTGGGACGAGGGGATCCAGGACAGAGGCGAATGGAGTCAGGGCAAGAAAATGATTGGCATGGGCTCACACTGTGTGGGTTGCCCTGAGAGGTCTGTTGAGATGTCTCAACACAGGGATGGGCGACACAGGTATGGGATTGGTGAGCACGGGATGGACAGGAATGGGGTTGACATGTGTGGGGTTGCAAGGTGTGGGGTTGAGGGGTATGTGACTGGCAGGTATGGAATTGACGGGTGTGGGACTGACAGGGATGTGTGCATGGATGGCGCATGTGTGACGCATGGATGGCGCACTGACAGGCGCTGTGTGACTCATGGTGTGGAGGTGCAGTCGGAGGGGCGGAATGAGAGCTAACGGAATGAGAAGGGGCGTGAGTTGGGCTTGTGGCAGCGAGGCAGCAGGGCAGAGGGGGGGTTAGGGGCGCTGGCGCAGTGGTGGCGGAGGAGGGAGCGGGAACCAATGGGGGAGGAGACAAGGGAGGGCCGGGGTGGTATGGATGGGTGGGAGTGGGTGTGGGGGAGAGGCTGCGGAGGTGGAGGAGACAGGAGGTAGATGCACATGAGCGCGCGGGCAAACAAATTCGTAACCAATAAGTGGTCGAGCATAGAAATTGCTCGTAACCAATGAGCGCACGGGCAAATACATCAGCGTTCATAAACTGCAACGCCAGAGCATAAATGCACGAACATATTATTGACCGCGCACGATTGGTCGATAATATGCTTCTTGCCCTTTTTGGCAATGCGCGTCCAATCACGCACGGTCATATAATTCACGACCATATATTTAGGCGATAAAGGGTCGCCCAAAAACCAATATGAGCGCACATATATTACCATTAGTTATATCATATTTACAGTCCATATAAAACTATGTATATCAAATGCCATAAATATATTCTCTGCTATTAATTTAAGCCCATCATACTAGACATAATATTGTATCGTGGCCTACCATAATATTAATAATCCCCTGCCTTATCCTCTCGCGAGATAAGGCAGTTAAAACTCTGCCAATGCCGATATGCCCCCTATCTCGGACCACTAAGTGTGCTTTTCTTCAGACGGAAAGGCATCTGGCTGTAAAATAATAACCTCTAAGTCTTTGGGTGCCCATCTCATTACCGAATAAAAGGGTGTTTGAAACAAAACAGTTCACGTGGTTAAAATACCGCGGACTAGGTGTACCATTTTGCTAGACGACGCTACCGAGTGAGTCAGCATGCTGACCGCGGGCAGAAAAAAATATAAAACCTATTCGGACTCCATGCCATTCGGGAGCCTCAACCCTAAAATTTTAGGGTTGATGCCTCCCGAATGGCATGCCTTCCGAGTGGGTTTTATTTTTTTCCTTGCCCGCTGACTCATTGCACTGCCTGCTGACGCAGGCAGTGCAATATATTTGCCAAAATCTGCTACCCCGAAAGACAGCGTCGCACCGCTCGAGCCATAAGGGCGTGTGTGATTTTTTATTTTGCCATAAGTTTATGTTTTTGACTCGATTTAAGCATTTGAACACAAGCTGATCATGACTCGACTTTGAGCATTGGCAATGTTCGAACCGCAGGTGACAATGCTTCTGGATTCACAATCACACACGAAAGTGCGAATTTGCAGGTTCTAGATTACAGGGGGGGAACCGAGCCGCCTATAGGGTGCCTAGGTTACCCGGTATTCTTCTTTTGACAGCTGCTAAAAAAGGTGAACGTTAGACCTCCACCTCGGCGGATTGTTGGCGGGAATTTCACAGCCAAATCGCCTGCGCCGGATGAGACGCACCCACGAAACGTCATCGTGCCACGACGCATGCCACGTGGTGGGCTTTGCGCGGGGGACTCTGCTATGGGTCTCGGATGTGCCTCCATTGGTGCATGAAAGATTCGCGAGCTTCGCTAGTTCCTCGTACGTGCCTGAAACCACACACGTTCGGTTCAGTGTGCTACACAAAGTTTGTGCATATGTTCGAATCTTGTTCACTTTTGTAGGTTCGCACCTGGTACTTTTGAAATCGGAGTCAACATTGGCGAAATCTCCTGCGAACATTGGCGAAACTGGTTACCACCTAAAGTTTGACCTAATATACGGACCCAACAAAAAATCACACACGCCCTAATTGGTGAAATGTGATGGCCGTTAACGTCAGCTCCGGAAATGCAGAGCTGGTGCCAATTTTCCGGAACCGTAAGTCCCCCAGAGAGGCTGTTGTGCGGCTGGGATTGAGCATGCCCAGTGCACGCCTGAAGGCGTTGGAAATCAGTTGAATCTGAGGGCAGAGCACGAGGCAATGCTCCAAGGTTTCCTCCCCTCCACAATACAGGCAGATGGGTTTGCTGCTGGGAAATGCTAAGCGTTCCCCCACCTGCAGATTGAGGCCGTGGATTCTCAGGAGCACGTCCCTCGGACGGCTGGGAATCGCCAGAGAGTCCCTGGTATCCACCACCTTTCTCCAGTCAATATTTCCGCCCCATCTTGCCGCCCACTTCTCCCTCTGGTATGATTCCTTGTGAGGCCCTGTCCAGCACCCCCTCACCTGCTTCAAGGCAATGACCTGCCCGTTCTCCAGAACAGGAAACCAGGGAATTGAGTCAGCCAAGCGGGGAACCACTGTCAAGAAACCGAGTAGCCGTAGCCAGGGTGCAGGAATTGTGTTCAGCACCTTTAGCGCCATCCTTGCGGGAGCACTACCACCGAGCTGCTGGGACAGCTCCTCCATGGGTCTTTGAGCCAGACCGCCATCTGGATTCCGCTCCAGCAAGTCACCCAGACGCACCTTCCATAGCCCCAGCGCCGCTTTCTGCCCACCAAGCGGCGTAGTTCCGTTTAGCATAAAAGCTTTGTTGAAGGCTATTCTTTCCTACAGGATCTCCTCCATAGTCGCCGCCGCTAGACGTGTACACAGCGGGGATTGAATCAAACTTTCACATGTCTGTCTCCAATGCATGCTCCGCCGCGTCCAGTGTTTCCGAATTTTCTCATGCGCCATGAAGGTATCTGCTCCCAACGGCAATTCCGCGGCCGGCATCATGATGTGTTTCTTAAGGCTGTTAGTCTCCATGAGAAAACGCCCCGCCCTTCGTGCAGCCAGGCATGTGAGCACAATTCCAGGATCCCGCACTCCAGTCCCCCCAACCGCTCTAGTTGTGTGTACCAACTCCTTGCTCCACAGCACAAAACCTCTGACCGTCAACACCTTGTTTCCATATATAAACCTATGCAGCATTCGTGTGAGCTCTGCCTATACTTTTGCAGGTGGAGGATAGATCTGCGCTTGGAACGCCACTATCGGGGTGATGTAACAGTTCACCACGGTTGCTCGAGCCGAGGTGGTGAGATATTTCAGCTGCCACTTTAACAGTTTCCCAGCCATGTGCCCCATAGCCTTCTCCCACGTTGGCAGGCCGCTTCCCGACGGCGACACCCAGACCCCCAGCAGTTGCTCTGCATCATCGGCACCAGCCCACTTGAAGACAGAGTTACCGTCTGTCGCGCCAAGTTTCGCTCCTAGCGGTAAGACCACCGATTTTGCTTTTGTTGGTCGCCTGGCCGGAAACTCTTTCAAATTTGTCTAACAGCTCCTCTGCTTTTGTTATCTGCTCCACTCCTTGCAGCGCCAGTGTCGTATCATATGCGTACCCGAGGTAACCAAGCCGCTGCCCGTCCTTGCTGAGCCCAAGCTCCTCCCTCTCCACCCCTGAGCCAGGGGCTCCACCGCACACAGAAAGAGGTAGGGCGCCAAGGGACACCCTTGACAGACCCCAGAGATCACATCCAGCCCTTCTCCAAGCCACCCATTTACTAACAACTTCGTTTTTGTGTCCTTGTGCAGCCCTTTGATCCAGTCCACAAATCGACTCGGGAAACCCATCCTCCTCAGCACCTGGAACAAGAAGTCACGGGATACTGAGTCGAAGGTTTTTTGAAAGTCGACGAGGAGTAGATACCAATCCTCGTTTCCATTCTTTGCCGCATCAATCATATCCGCCACCAGTGCCATTGCGTCAGACATCCGTCTGCCCGGTAAAAAACCACACTGCTCCGATGAGATGACCTGATGCAGTACAGTTTTCATACGGTCGGCTATAACCCACGCCAGCACCTTGTAGGAGAAGTTTAACAAGGTAATCGGTCTGTAATTGTTAAGCTGGTCGCGCTCCCCTTTCTTGTGCAGCAAAATCGTTACCGCTTCTTTGATTTCCGCCGGAAGGGAGGCCGACTTCTCAAAATCTCTTGCCATGGCCATGAAGCTTCCCCCAAGCAGGTCCCAATGAGCCTCGAAGAATTCCTTCGGAAGCCCGTCTCCCCAAGGTGATTTGTTTTCAGCCATTGCTGCAAATGCTTTCTTTACCTCCTGCTCCGTCCAATCCACTGCTAAGGCTTCCGCCATTCCCCCCTCCAACCGTCTTGTCAGGGACATGTTCCAGTCAGAGAAGACAGTACGCCGACCCCTTCCGAAGATGTTTTTGAAGTACTTTGACGCCGCATCCAGAATTGGCTTGGAGCCTAACACCGAGACCCCCCCATCATTTAACTCTGCGATTTGAGTACGTGCTTTCCGCGCGCGAACTTTCGCCGAAAGGTGAGGCGACGCTATCTCCCCTGTCATCTCCTCCTTCAAGCCCGCTTGTAAGAGCAACCGCTCCCTTCTCGCCGCCTGATATTCCTTAAGCTGAAGCTCCTTCTCCTCCAGCATCAACTTTTTATGATCGCATGTTGGATCCCTCATTTGCTCCTGCTTCAGAACTGCTACAATGTTGACCAAGTGAGACAGAGTCGCCTTGAATCTCTTGCTTTCTTCCCTCGCGTACGACCTGAGACCAGCACCAAGGCGGGAGATTAGTCGTTCAAATCTGCTTCCATCGTGAACCGGTGTCCGTCGGACCGTCGCATCAATAATCTTCCGCATCCCCCGCCTGTGTATCATTGAGGCGTGTAACCTCCATATTTCCGGCCCTGCACAGACCTTTGTGTCAAGTCTGAAGGCCACTTTAATCGCAAATCCGTGATCAGATATAGGCCCCTGCGGCATGACATGTGAAGATGTCTCAAGGTGAGAGAGAAGAGATTGTGAGACTAGGGCTCAGTCAATTCGTGTGCTGGCTGGATGAGATCTGTCGTAAAAGGTGTATTCTCTGGCTCGTGGATTCAGGATGCGGAAGGCGTCAGAGAGTTGGAAGTTGGTGCAGCACAAGAAGAGTTTCTCATTCTCAGAGGATGACCCCGAGCCTGAAGATCTATCCAGCTTTGGATCTTCAGTCAGGTTCAAGTCTCCTATCAGTAGTAAGTGAGAGGCTGGTGGGATTTGGTCAACTATCGGTCCGAGGGAGTCACGAAGGAAGGCGGATCTGGATGTGGGGTTTGCGGGGAAGTATACTGCTAATAATACGATTTCTAAGCCTGGGCCTCTGATAGTCGTTCTAGCGATGCGTCCTGAGGGGCGAGCTAGTGAGTCGTGAAAGGAGATGGATGGGTCTCAGCATACTACTGCAACACCACCAGCCGATGTACACGGTGAGGAGGTAATGACTGTAGCGGAGTCAGAAGTAAGTGCTGTCCAGTAAGTATGGTCTGCTTGAATCCTAGTATCTACGAGGATGGCAATGTCTGTGGTTGTCCTAATCCAGTCAGTTACACGGTTTTGCTTAGTCTTGTCACCTAATCCATTAACTTTGAGGCTCGGGAAGGTAAGATGGTTCTTGATAATCATTGATTCACCCACTTGCAGCCCCTGATCATCCACAAGCCGAAGAAAGTAACTACACATGCAACATTGACTCCAAGACTCCAGTAAGCAGCAGCGACCAGGTAATCGTTTGGATCTGTCACAGTCTGTACTCCTTGCGGATGACTGTGAGGTTCATCTTGTCGAGAGAGTCTTTCGTGGCTGATCCGGGCTTCTCCAGCTGCTGCAGATGAGCGGCAACAGTGATGTGATCCGCAGCCGCCATGAAGCTCTTCCCTTTTGCCTTCCCACACCCTGTCTGCATGCAGATCCAATCCTCCCTGTCAGAATCCCAACCATTAGACCATTGGGATAAAAGGGCTTGTTTGTATAGCGGGTTTGTGCGCCCATTACCCCCAGGCGAACGCGCCTGTAACCCCCCTAGGATCAATCGGGCATCCACAGTGCATATCTACAGACACCCCCCCATACTGGGAGGCTTAAGGCTGAGCACAGCGGCAACGGCCTACATGTGCATACACCGGGATTCGAACCTGAGACCGCTCTGATACCATGTCAGAATCCTAGCCACTAGACCAGTGGGATAAAAGGGCTTGTTAAGTAGCGGGTTTGTGCGCCCATAACCCCCCAGGCGAACGCGCCTGTAACCCCTTTATGATCAATCGGGCATCCACAGTGCAGATCTACTGACACTCCCTGCTGCCGCCGGTGGAGACAAAAGCAATGGCTGGGTCGCGGAAGATGGGGAGGATCAACGAAGACGCTTTCAGCGACGCAGCTGCGAAGATCGAGCAAAAGGTTAGCAGATGAGGTAATAAGAAAAGGAGGAAAACGGCGAATAGTCTGGTTGCACCTTCCCCAAGGTAAGGTTCCATCTGCCTACGTTATTCTGACGCTCAGTGATAAAAACATCATGATACTTATCACAATGTTTGCCACCATAGAGCGTGCAGGATAAGGCAGGGCAATGGAGGAGAAGCTTCTTCGCGCGATCAGTAGGATCCGCGACCGCATGAATCCAACGACGTGAGCCCGGGTGAGCATACACCAGCGCCTTCACCACGTCAGTATCAGCTCCAGTAACTGGGTGGAGCACCCGATGAAGACAGGTGCACCACTGGAAAGCCGACTTCTGGCTGCTCTTTAACTTGTAAGTTGCCAGGCGATCATGAAGCAGATCCAGTTCGACAGCAGCAGAAACACCACGGATCATGACTTCAATGGCAAGCGGGTTCATCGCCTTCTCACGAGTGTAAGACAGGTCCTCAGCATGCAGCCAGTGAAGCGTGGCAAGCTGACCCATGTTCGTAAGAGGCTGATACACCACCTCCTTTTTCTGCACCAAAAGCGCGTCAGATTCCTTGACGAATGAGAATTGGAGGCGACAATAGCGCACCTTGGCGACATAAGCAGGAAGCAATTCCTAGAACTTTGTCGTCGCTGCGACTCCGTCAGATAAATCTGTGTACCATCCACGTTTTATTAGTGCCTTGACGACAGTCTCAATCACACAGGAAACCTCCTTCTCCAGCATCATGGGGATAAGCAAGATGACAACCGAACGCAGCCGGGACGCAGCCTCCTTGTCCAAGTTGATCAGCATCTCATCATCCGAGTCCTCATCCAGGTAACCATCCTCATCCATGGCAGCCTTGTCAGCCACCGAAAGTCCGGATCCGCCAGGCTTGGAGACATTGACACCGTCAAGCTTGTCGGTCACCATAGAGATGTTGTCCTTGAGTGCCTCATAGTCAACATTGACACTTCCCGATTGTTGATCCACTGCAGGAGGACCAGTGACGCCATTGGAGGCTAAGGTATCAGCAGCAGGACGAGAGCGCTGACCCTTAGGTAGAGACGGGACATCAGCGAGACATGGTGCGATGATGAGATCGAGGCAGTTGAAGAAAGTGCTGACTGCACTTGTTGACGGAAGAAACTTGTACTGCCTGATGACTGAGCACGACCCTATGAAGTAGTGTCCCAGACTTGCCAGGGTCACGCAGCTGATGTTGTTGGTGTTGTAAACTCGAGGGTAGCACCTCGGTGATGTCTTGCTTAATAATAGTCGTAGAAACACTGTCAAGAGAAGTTGACGATACGCTGGAATCAAAACCATGCTGATGAACTTGAAAGTAACTCGGCCTTGAAAATGCCTGGCAGAGCCTGATACTTGTCGCCTGATAACTGGAGAGACCAAGGTCAGCATAAATGACCGGACTTCCATTCCGAATGTTAGAGGCAATTCTGTTAAGAACATCAGAACTTCGCGTGCATTGTAACGAGGACGTTGAATTAGTCAAGCTCGGTAAAATCCATGGCTGCCAGATGGCGGAGAAGGCGGAGAGCATTGTCATTGTCAAGGTTGTGTTTTCTGGCCCCCATACCCTCCGTAAGGGCAGATCCGTCATCGGTACGGGAATGAATCTCTTCAGGGGGCACACTCTATGCACAATCGCATCGTTCTGCATCTCCAAACACTTCGTGCTCGAAATTCAATATAATCACCCGGTTTCCCGCCTTCGCACCGAAAGCCCGCCAGAAAACCTTGGGAACAGCAGCACCCAGACTTCCTGACAGACTCGAGAAGAGCCACACTCCTGGGAACTTGGGAACACCGCCCTTGGGAGCTACAACTTCTGTGAGTTCTGTTCTGAGTTCCTTTCTCCCACATGCCTCCCTCTTCTCATTACAAGTCCTTCCTTCCCTTGAAACCACGCAGTTTCCTTCAATATTCCGCCATGTCGTCAGCACCTCGTAGCTCGACTTGCATTTAGAGACCCTCCATGTCGTCCCCTTGACGTTCACGTGTCTTTGCTGTTTCCGAGTCATAAGCTCCGCTTATTATGTAGATTCCCAGTTCAGGAAATCGACGCGCTTTTCCATTCCTATCTGCTAGCCCTCCTTGCGGACCCTGATTAAGTATTGCAGATTAATATCCCTCTCGAGTAGTTAAGACTCAGCATTCGAAGCCGTAGATATTTGAGACGTTTTTTAGATACCCAGCTGGCACGATGAGCAAGAAGGATGATGAGAAGCACGAGAAGATTATCCGGGGGTTGATGAAGTTGCCCGAAAATAAAAAGTGCATAAACTGCAACAATCCGGTAATGCATTTCACCAGGTTCTAATTAGCGTCGCCAGCTATGCCCTTAGAAGTTATGACGAGCGGGGAACAGGGTAGGTCTGTTATTTTCAGCGAAAAGCGTTTGCTTTATCAGTACGAGGTTCGTGTTTTGAGGTTAGTTAGAAGCCAGACGCGATGCGTTCAGCCACTTCCTTCTAAGCTCCTACGGCGAATGCGTTGTCGTTCAGGATGTAATAACTTCTAGTCTACGCTTCCCTGCGTTAAGCGTTAATCCTTTGCGGGCTGTGCGATCACAAAGTCGTACTTAATTTGGATCCAATATTTGCAACATGTCCAGTCTTTGCGATCAGTCCACTTCATACGGATCGTTAATGTCCGTACGATATCCGTGTGTTACCTCGATTACTGCAGGGCCCTCAATATGTGTGCACGAATTTCGCAACGTTCGTCTGCGTCGCGTGCAGCGGAATCCAGTGAGTCTTCCTCCCCCTTCTTCGCCAATCTTCCCCTCTCGTCTTTCAACTTCACTCCATCCACATACCCCTCCTTTCCCGCCTTCACCCTTTCCGCTCGTGCGAGCGCGTGACTTTGAAGTCAACTCAAAAGTCACCTCGACACAGTGACACACTCCACTGAGTACTTCGTTCCCGCCTTCGCCTTTCCCGCCTTCACCATTTCCGCTTGTGCGAGCGCATTGCAGTGACCCCATTTCCATGCCCCGATTTACATCACCTCCATTTCACAAGATGCATTTACATTTTATTCAGCAATCTACACTACCGCCCCTCCTCCCCCTCCTTCCCTTGCCCGTTTCCAGTCGCGAGTACACGCACCGCCTCAAGTCCGTGTCAATGGCCAAGTTCACTCCTGAAGAGGTGGCAGCGCTGCAGCAAGGCGGCAACCAGGTGAGGAGTTACTGGGTGAGCGGTTACACAGATATGCGGAAACCAGGTACATCAAATACCCACCCACCATCTTTCGCAAGTCCGTGTCAATGGCCAAGTTCACTCCTGAAGAGGTGGCAGCGCTGCAGCAAGGCGTCAACCAGGTGAGGGGTTACTGGGCGAACTGTTACCAGGCTGTGGTAACCAGATGCATTCGCGAGGCGATTAAACAGATTCAACCATTAAATTAATAGCCCCTCCAGTCCATTTTCGTGGCCGACCTCAACACAACGACGATTTTGAATCTGATTCGTTTCCTCTCTCTCCTTGTGTGCCTGCCTCACGTCGCCTGCGTGCCTCCGTTTACGTGCGTGTGATCAGAAAGCGCGGGAGTTTTTCCTCGCGAATGCCAGCAGGGTGGAGCCGCCAGACCCCAAGTGAGTCCGCCTGCTGCCTCTCTCCCCGCATGCACCTAATCATCACTTCCGTCCCCGTATCCGCTATCACCCCTTGCTTCCTGCCTAAGTGCTGCGATCCACTCCTTCCCCCCCAAATGCTCATCATCCCCTCCTTCCCCCCCATATGATCTTCACCCCTTCTTGCCCCATATCCACTAACACCCATTCGATCCCCGCAGCGACCCAAATCGGCTGAGGGAGTTCGTGCGATCAGTCTACGTGGAGAGGCGATACGTGGCAAGCAGAGACCCGAACGCTGCTGCTGTGCCACCTGCGCGCGCGCAGCCCTCTTCCCCCTCCCCTTCCCCCGACCTTCCCCCAGCCTCCGCCTCCTCCCCGCAGCCCGTCTCCTCGTCCCAGCACAACGATCACAGCCGTTTATCTTCGGACGCCAGAGCTATGCGGGCTTCTGCTGATGGGTACGGTGGTGCGAGTGGGGCGAGCAGAGGTCCGGGGAGAGGCGCGGGGTATGGGAGTGATAGGCAGCCGCAGCAGCAGCAGCCGCCGCAGGAGGAGAAGCGGAAGCACAAGGGCGGGCTGTCATCCTTCCTGGGGTTCAAATCCCGTGGCAGCAGCAGTAGCAGCAGCAACAGTGGCGGCGGTGGCAGCAGTGGCGGTGGCGGCAGCGGGAGTGGCGGGGCGGCAGGCAGCAGGCATAGCAGCAGCAGCGGGGGCAGTAGGGAGAGACGGGAAGACTCGTTGAAGGGAGAGCATCGGAGGGACGGCCAAGGGGGACGGTCCTCCTCTCCCTCCAGTTCCAACAACAGTGATAAAGGCAGCAGAGGCAGCGACAGGGAGAGAGACAGGGAGAGGGAGAGGGAGCGAGACAGGGAAAGGCATGGGCATGGCATGAGGAAGAGCGGGAGTAGTAGCGGCAGTGCAGGCGGGCATTCCAGACCCAGCGGGGGCAGCGGGGGAGGGGGGGGAAGTAGAGGGGGAGGAGGAGGGGGGCAGGGCGTGCAGGCGGTGAGTGTGCCTGTGGGTCTGGTTCTGGGGCGGGATGTGGAGGAGCTGAAGGTGTATGCAGAAGGGGAGGAGGGCGCCGTGGGGAATGGCGTGAATGGGGGGCATGCGGGACGGGGAGAGGAGCAGGGAGGAGCGCCTGGAAGCCCTGGGTCCATTGCTTCCTCTGTGAGTGGCTTGTGTGTATTCTTGAGGAGCCTAAAATATAGAGCCCTGGGTCCAGAAGTTATGCTGATGCAGCCTCTATTGCCTTCTCTGTGAGTTGCCTGAGCAGGCTTCTCCGTCACCTCTCCTGGTCATCCTCTCTTACTTTCTCTTCCTTTTCTCTCACAGGCACACATGCACTCACACTTTCCCTGAAGTGCCCATTTTCAAGTTTTGACTGTTTCCGTGACTGTCTCTCTGCCACTGCCCCTGCACCTATTCCTGTCCCTGCCCCTGCCCCTTGCCCCTGCCCTTTCCCTCCCTGCCCCTGCCCCTACCACTGTCCCCTCCACCAGGCGGCATCGCGCAAGGCTGCAGACGTTCACCCGCCAACGCCCGAGAGCAAGCTCAACCCCTCCACCAGTGCCGCCCCCCCCAGTGCCGCCGTCACCACGGCCAGCCTCATAGACTTCTCCTTTGACGACCCCACCCCTGCACCGCACACTGCCGGCGCATCTGCTGCACCAGCAGCAGCAGCAGCAGACCCATTCGGGCTGGCAGATCTCCTCGCGCCTGCCCCCGCTGTCCCCGATCCTGGCCAAGGTATGGGCGCTGCAGGTATGGGAGGTTTGGACCCTGCAGGTATGGGCTCTGCTGCGGCCGGGCCTCCGTACGGGGCTCAGTTTCCTGGTGGAGCCCAGCTCTTTGGGGATCAGCCCTTTGGGGGCGAGCCGCTGCCCGGCCAGCAGTATGGGGGACTGCTGCCTATGGGAGGTCAGGCGTTTGGTGGCGGTCAGCCTGGGGCAGCTGGAGGGCAGCCGTTTGCAGGGCAAGCGTTTGCCGGGCAGGGGTATGGCGGTCAGCCTGGTGGTGTGGAGTTTGGCACGGTGCAGAACGTTGGTGTGGGGTTGGTTCCGGATCAGCAGCAGGCCCCGGGTGGTGCTGCTATGGGCTGGGGCTCTGGTTTCCTGCATGCTGAGACCGGTGCTCGTGCTGTGCCTGCTGCAACTGCTGCTGCTGCGTCCGCTCCTGCTGCTGGGGGGTTGGAGCAGGCACAGCTGCCACAGGGACCGGCACAGCAGCCTGGGCAGCAAGGCGGTTTCTTTGGGGAAAACGATGCTGTTGATGCTGCTGTGGTAGCTGCAGCACCAGCACAAGCACAAGCACCTGCAGCAGCAGCAGCAGCAGATGCTTCTGCATCAGAAGCAGCAGGAGAGGCGGGAGGCTTTGCCTCGTGGGCTGCGTTTGACGCCGCCCCTGCTGCTGCTCCTGCTCCAGCCGCTGATGTTCCTCCTGCTGCTGTTGGCGCAGGAAGCCAGCCCACTTCTGCTGCTGCACCTGGCGTTTCACCTGAAACCGCTTCTGCACAAGCAGGAGCAGCAGCGGCAGGTGGCGTTGAGGAAACACCTGCTGCTTCCGCTGGTGCTGCTACAGCAGCGCCATCTGCAGAAATGGTATGAGGTCATTCAATTATTCCTATCATGTTTTTTTTTTTCCCCCTCCTTTTCTCTCGGCAGCATCTGGTTTATTGTTTTCCCTTTTTTTTCCTTCTTTCAAGCCAACTGAGTCAATTGAAACTGTCAACTTTCATGCAATTCCCTTTGCTCGTCCAGACTTGGAATGCTTTTGGTGACGAGACAGCACAGCCAGCACTTCAGCAGCAGCAGCCGGGGATAACAGAGGCCCCTGCCTCTGCTGCTCCAGTACCATCAGCAGCAGCAGGAGCAGCAGCAGGAGCAGGTGCAGCTGCCCCTGCAGCAGCACCATCAGCAGCACAAAAGGCGGCTGCAGCACGAGCAGCCATTCCCGAGGTACCCATCACACCTGCTCGGCACTCATGCCACTATCTTACTTCCTTCTTACTTTCTCATACTCCTACCTATCGCTCTCCTCTGCCCCCTACCTCCCTCTCCCCCACTCCCCCGCCCCCACTCCCCAGTCCCCTTCCTGCTTCTGCGCTTACTTCCTATTCAATCCTTGTATTCGTTGACTCCCCTCCTCCTTGCCCCCTCCCCATCCCCCACCTTGCCCCTTCGCCCCCACCCCACACCCCCCTCCCCGCTTCCGCGTCACCTCGTCCGCGCTCTTGATGTCAAGGCAATTTTCACTTCCTCGGTGGTTCTTCACATGCCTTACGCAGCCCCACACCCCCCTCTCTCCCACCCACTTCCTCTTCTTTCCTGCCTCCCCTTGGCCCCTCCCCTTTTGGGGCGCCTCAAAAGTCACTTCCTCTTCTTTCCTGCCTCCCCTTGGCCCCTCCCCTCCCTGCTCCTCTTGCCCCCTCCTCTTCCCGCCCCGCCCCTCCCCTTATCAGGACTTTTTCACCAACCTCCTCCCAGCGCCTACAGTAAAGAACGACCTGCCCTACCTTGGGGGCTATGCCGCCCCTCCTGCCCCCGCCCCTGCTGTCACCGATACAAGCACACTCGCTTTTGGATCGCCAGGAACAGTGGCTGCTGCAGCTTCTGCTTATGGGGCATACGGGCAGGTATGGACTGTGCTGGGGCAAGGCAAGGAGTATCAAATGGTGGAGTGGAGGAGAGGAAGGTGGGAATGGGCGTGTGGGGTAAGGGTGTGAGAAACAGATACAAGAACACTTGCAGTAGGATCACCTGTAACAGTGGCTCCTGCAGCATCTACGTATGGGGCATACGGGCAGGTATGGCCTGGGGTGGGGCATACGGGCAGGTATGGCCTGGGGTGGGGCATACGGGCAGGTATGGCCTGGGGTGGGGCATACGGGCAGGTATGGCCTGGGGTGGGGCATACGGGCAGGTATGGCCTGGGGTGGGGCATACGGGCAGGTATGGCCTGGGGTGGGGCATACGGGCATGTATGGCCTGGGGTGGGGCATACGGGCAGGTATGGCCTGGGGTGGGGCATGGCGAAGGAGGATGTGGTGGGGGATGGGCTTTTGAGGCGCCTCAAAAGATGGGCTCCGCACCCTGATACTGTTATCATTTTCCTTGCACACATAATCTGCACCCTTCTTTACCTCACTCTTCCCCATTATACCTCTCTCTACACTGTTCTGACCCTGGCCCCCTGCAGCCTCAAATGTCCGCGTTGGGTCTGCCGCCCCAAGCCATGGACTTGCCGCCCTACCAGATGGCAGGACCCGCTACAGGACAAGCCATGCCGTCCGCCTATGATCAATTCCTCTCTACCACAGCAGCCGCCCCTCCTCCTTTCCCCGGTGCCTCTGGTGTTGCTGCTAGTCTCGATGCCTCTGGTTTTGGTGCTGCTGCCGATGGTAGCAGTGCAAATACAGCAGCAGCAGCTGCTGCAGCAGCAGCTGGCAAGTCGACCAATCCGTTTGCCTTTGATGATGAGGATGACGAGGAGGACACTACCGCCCCTGCTGCTGCGACTGGTTCTCAGGTGACTTTATCTTATCCTCCTCCCATCTCCACCTTTCTCTACGGTTCACCCTGATTTCTACCTTCTCACCCCTGCTCCATCCATGCCGCACTTTCCCATGGGTGAAAGTGCTTAAGGGAACCTCACCTTCGTGTATCGTCCCTGCACCATCATCCTTGCAGCGTGTGTCAGTGACCCTTTTTATGCCTCTGCCTGGTTCATTGACCTGCTTTCAGAACCCGGGCCAACATTTTCTCATTACATTGATTGCTGTGATTGTTTTTCCTCTGCCATTCGCCCACGAACTCACTGCCCTTTCCAACCCCTGTGTGCCGCTTCACCTCATTGCCTCTTTTTCCTTTTCTTTCCCACTCTCACCACCCGCACCCCTGCAGCCATTCTCCATGGATCCGTTGGCTGCTGCTCTCCCTGGTGGTTATTTTGCCCCCCCTGGCACCGCTGCTGCCCCCTTCCAGTCCCCTCAGCAGCAGAATCCTGCAGGTGAGCACTTGTCTTTGCTGTCCCGAGTTTTTTGTTTGCTTGTTTGTTTGTTGGTTTTTTTTGTTTGCCTGAAGCTGTGCACAGCTTTTGACTGGGTGTAACCCTCCAGGTGCCCGTCCCACCAGCAGCCATGCCGTGCAGCTCGGTGGCATACTGTCTTATTGTTTTCCGTTTTCAATTCTCTCTGCCCCCCCCCCCCAATTCCCCACCCTGCCCCCGCTCTTTCCGTTCCCCCATCACCCTGCATCCCCCCCCTCCAGCCACCCCATTCGCCCATGCACCAGATCTCACCCCCCAACCCTCTTTTTGAGTCGGCTAAAACCCCCCCCCCCGTGCCCCTTCTCGTTCCGTTTCCCCATCGCCCTGCGTGCTCCCCTCTCCAGCCACCCCATTCGGCCATGGACCATATCTCACCCCCCAACCCTCATTTTGAGTCGGCTAAAAAAATCCCCCCCGTGCCCCTTCTCGTTCCGTTTCCCCATCACCCTGCGTGCTCCCCCTCTCCAGCCACCCCGTTCGGCCATGGACCAGACCTCTCCCCACAACCCTCCGCCTTTTCGCCCTCCACTCCTCCGCAACCCTCCGATCCATTCGGCGCACCTCACCCCGTCCAAACCACCTCGCCTGGTCTGGCCGGACCTGCCAGTGGGTTCGGAGGTGCCGCACCCGGAGGGGGCGTGAGTGTGTCTGCTGATCTATTTGGGGCTGGGTTCGGGTGGGGGGGAGGGGGAGCAGGAGGCGGGGGAGGAGGGGGAGGAGGGGCAGGTATGGGAGGCCATAATCACATGCATTCAGCTGGTGGTGGTGGGGGGATGTCTGCTTCTATCGATTTTGGTTTTCTTGGAGGTGGTGGTGGTGGTGCTGCCTCTGGGCTTGCTCCTGGTGCCCCACAGGGTGGTGGGAACTTTGGACTAGCGCCTGCTACTGCAGGAGCAGCAGGAGGGCCTTCTATGGATCCGTTTGCATCTCTAATGCCGACTGGAGCACAGGCTCCTAGTGCTCATCAGCCCGCTCCTGCTGCTGGTGCAGCTGCGGCTGCTCCTGCATCCTCTTTTGATGGTTTCTCTTGGTAAACAGTTGCATCTGCTACGTAATTTGATTCTGGGTAGATTATATGTCAAAATCCAAGTGCGTCTGGCTAGCATAGGTAGCCTGCTTGTTGTTCGCAACTTAGGTAGCTGAACTGTTCTGCTTGTATGTAGGCGAAACGTCAGTTTGTGTGTGTTCTGGGTTAGTATAGGAGACATCGACTCCCAAACCTGTTGTTTCTGTACACTGTATACAGTCCTTGACGGGTACAATGACAGCAACACAACCTTGCCAGCCTGGAAAGGCGGAAGTTCGCCAGAAATGTCATCGTGCCGGTAGCTTCTCGCGATGTTATTGGTCAAATCCACGCTGGAGCTGACCTGCTGGCCCTTGCAGCCGGTTTATTGGCTGGGTGGTCAGCAGAGTCCTCGGTAACTTCGGGAGCAGTTTCTTCTGAGGGGGGTCGGCGAGTTTGCGAAGTCAAGCGAACTACTCGAAGACGTCAGCAAGCCATCACTAGCCACGTACTTCCCCTGCTGCCACCACGCTGGAGCCAATCCACAAGCGATTTGATATTCCTTGCTGTACATTTCCCATCATCGCGTCGCCATTTCGAGGGAGTTCGAGCCGCCTCAATTGGTCGTGAAAGCTGCCCCCCACCTCCCCTTGCCCCCACCTCTACTCCTCACTCTCCCGTCACACCACGCCACAACACATCAAACCCCAGCGGAACTCACCGAAACCATACCACGTTCCTCTCTTTCTCTCTATCCACGCACCTACCATTTCATTTCAACAACCTTCCTCCATTGCCCTCCCCTCCCCCACACCACCTTCCTCCCGCTGCTCCCTCTTCTCTTCCTCTTCCATGGATGCTCTGCCTTCCCGTTCAGAGTGGCTTCAAGCATATAAAGCGATCCGATAAGCATTTCTCCGCAATCTTCCCCACCCATCAAACTCCCATATTCAGAGCCTTCCGCCAAGACACGAGCTTCCTCTACTGGTTTGCAACGCCGTTACCACTCATCTTGATCGCAATCACTCACACCGTTTCCACCACCTACCACTCTCGCAGTCAATCTTACCTAGAGGAGGCTCTTTCCGTCGCTCCATCAAGCGAAATCATTGTTCGACTGGACAGCTGAACGAGTTCCGCCTTCTCCACGATTCAGCATTAAATTTGTCACCAAGTCAAGGAAACGAGTTCGGTTGCCAATCCATCGCGTCTTCAAGACCGCATCGAAAGCTTTGAATCCGAAGAACACCGAGATCTGCCATGGCAGACGAGGCGAATAGCGCTCCGTTGAGTTCCTTCTCGATCACGGAGGCGCGCAAGTGGGTGGTGGAGAACAAGCTACGCACGGTGGGTGGACTTTGGGCCAGCGGCATCGCCGGGTCGGTGCTGTACAACATGCGGAAACCGGGGGAGAGAATGAGCGTCAAGATCATCCACGCGAGGTGAGCGTCCAATCTCAGCCGTGCAATTTTTGTTCCAACTCAAAGCGGCATCGCCGGGTCGGTGCTGTACAGCATGCGGAAACCGGGCGAGAGAATGAGCGTCAAGATTATCCACGCGAGGTGAGCATCGAATCTCATCCGTGCGCGTACATTTCTTTCCAATGCTGTAACCTCTTTGGGGCACTGGGCGTGCCGACGCCAAATTATTCCGGAATCGGGTTTGCTGGCTGCAGCGATTTGGGGTGCGTCGTAGGTTCTGATGCGCGCTGTCGTGTTTGGTTTGCTATGAACGTTTAAGCCAGAGGCACGGAAGCGGTTGTCAATGTGACGGCTGACCGTCAGCCGTATCTGACTCTCAACTGCCAGATTAGTCATCTTACTCAAGCAAGTCCTCCGCGTTTTGATTTCCCTGTTTCTCGCAGGTTGCACGCACAGGCTTTCACGTTGGCTGCTCTGATCGCTGCTGCTGGTGTGGAGTATTGGGAGCAATCGTCCAATCCTGCCACGAAAGAGGCACGACATCCGCTGTAATGGGATTCTGGTGTAAATTTCGAGCCAAGCAAAATGGCGCAATGAGAGAGCAAAGCTGCTCCCGTGCAACTCTAATGGTGTCAACAAGGGGAGCTGCGAGTTGAGTTTCCTTGCTCCCTTGTTGGGGCTTATTATTTGTTCACTTCATGAAGTGTTCGCCTTTATAATCCTTGTGGCAGCATTGCAGCAGGGAGCAAGTGCTTGCTGCTAAGCATCCAGAAAGGTACCTAGTCACCATCTGTGTGATTATGAGTACGATATATTGTGTGTTTCTGTTCTTTTTAGTGCTTATCTGATATAATGCTCATGACTCTGTCTAAGCTTTACTTTGGAAAAGATGTGGAATCTGGTTTTTTTTTAATAGAAGGCGTTTCACTATATCAAGGATACAGAAAAAATGCCACAGTCGTAACTGGAATCTGGTAAATTGTGAAGAGTAGTCAGGTGAAACAACGGATTTGCTCACTGCTGGGTACAATCAACATCCCTAGCTACATTAGAAAAATGGCTGAGATATGAGGGCCTCCATGCAACATGCGTTTAGGAGCTGCAGTGTAGTTGAAGTATATCAGCTGACCAACGCTCGTTATTACACAACCAATCATGTGCCTTTCCTTGTACCTAAAAGTAGGAGTCGTGCTATTGTGTTGTTTGATTGGCCAGTTGACTTCAAAAAGCGATACGCAATTGGCTCGTGAAATAGTAGCGAAATACAATAACAAATCAAACAAGAGCTGTCGATCCTTCAATTTGTCACGACGAATCAATGTCTTGAAGGGGCCGCAAGCGAGTGGGCTACGGGAATGTCCTATTGGCTGAAACTTGCCCCTAGTTTGGCTGTTTGGGTGTTGTCTTCAGCCAGCAGCATCCCTGCAGCACTCGTGTCAAACGGTTTGGAGGTGCGCTGTACACTTTTTGATTTTCTAGTCGAAGTTACTCGGCGAAGATACTTGTTTGGGGTAATTATGTACATCTTCCGAGCTTCTTGTTTATTCTCAAGCAGGCTCGGCGAATCTGGGCACAATGAAAGTACTTGAGAAAGCTAAGTGAATATATCCTCCTCTCCATGCAAGCATTCCCATAGGGCTGAATATTTACGCGTTAACAGTTTATTTAGTTCAGACATTCTCAGAAGTCCACCAGGATAGTCTCGCATACGACTGGGGAACCTCCATACCCATTCACCCCTTCTTCACACAGGTCTTCCATCCACCTCCCCTAACTTTAGGGCGTGGAATTGGCGCCAAGATCCCGCCGCAAGTTACGGAGCGCGTGCTAGGGCTTGCCTTTCCCGTTCTGCTCCTCTTTGCACACGGACAATCACCTTTTTGTTATCTTTCGCGGCTCCGTGGCAAAGCCCCTGTTGCGTCCCGTTCCACGTGGTCCCCAATTTCGCCGGCCCATGTGATCCTCGTTCCTAACGGCGACAGCACAGCAGCACTGCTGTTGCAGTATGTGGCGCGTGCTTTCTCCCATGATCACTTCACATGGGACAGAAACACGGATCAAAGGACATCACGCTATCAGCGTCTTGTAATTAATTTACGCCACGTGAACCCCCAGGCTACTTGCACCACAAGCTGAACCAAAAAGCGTGGGCCCGCAAGAAACTGACGCCTCTAGGTTAGATGGCAGCACCCGAATCGCGTAACTTGTGATTCGGCTTTCCCTGAAAAAGCGGCGCCGAGAAGCTGCAGCAATATGGGTGCCACGTGGCAGCGTATTTACCAAGATGAGGGAAAGCTGAGTCGAGATACGATCCTTCCTACGACCTATCAGACGTCCAGTACCCTGACGCCTCCTGCTGAACGTAAATGTGCTCCGTATTCGCTCTCTCATTACTTAATACGTAATCTCAATCCATCGCCTGTCAATAAGCCGCTAAGATCTGAATCTCTTTGCTCCATCCCTACGAGCACACGCGGAGGACACGCGCGCCCACAGCAGACTGTCCTTTCTCCAGAATAGGAGCCTCATTTAAGCTCAGATATTTTCCCTTCCGAGACGACTATCATCACCGCCACCAGTGCTACTCTGCGATGAATACTGCGCGAGTGGACGGACCTTCTTCGCCCACAGCCTCCGCCATCGCAAATGGTGTTTCGGCCCGTGTCGATGCTGACGTCACTATGAATCTGATCACGCCCCGCCGTCAGCGCCGCGTTCGTCGCTCTGCGACGAGTGTACCTCTGCGGCCATCGTCGGTTCTACCTATACCAACCTCGACTTCTGTCGACAACGTGCTTCCTGGAAGCGTCGCGTCTCGTTCTGCGCGGCGCCGAGCTGCTGCGACAAACGGCGAGATGTCACCACCTTCCACTGCTCTTAGCGGCCGGCGAATGAACCCAAACGGGGATTCCTACCTCGCACCTTCAAGCGCCCCACAACGTGGTGCCGCTTTCCCCAGTCAGCGTAGCAGTTCCACCTCTACGGAGATTCTCGCTATCGCTGAACAGCTGTTTGGGCAGCAAATTCATGCGAATTCGTCTGAAGGAAATTCCCAGCAAAACGCAACTACTTACGCAAGACCTGCTGGAAGCACGGCGGAGGGAGTACGCGATGTGCAAGTGCTTGGGCAGCGTGGCCATGGAACGGAAGGTATGCGTGCACGACGAGGAGGGCTTTCAGAAAGAAGGGCTGAGTTACTCATTAATCCTGCTGTGGAATTTGAGGATTTGTGCAGTCAATTAGCATCTGGGGCTGACGGGTTTAGGGTACAACAAGCGGAGATGGGGGCGAGAGTGGAAGCCGAATCTACCGTTGATGGGAGCGCGATGAACAACGTGGATGGATGGTGGGATTTCGTTGGCGAGATGGAGAGCGAGATGCTGAGTGACTGTAGCCGGAGTGATTGTGGCAGCCTCCCCAATTCCTGCTTCAACAGCCCCAGAACAAGTCTCGATGGCAGCAGTTTCTTGCCCGCTAGTTCCTTTGACGGGCGTGGACTTGGAAGTGGCTCTTCTGCTCATACCCGCTTCAGAGCGGGTTCAGTGTTTGAACCATTTGTTAGGTGCACATACCGGGATACTACATTGAGATTTCCTGCTTGAAACTT